AATTCAAATGAGTGAACCATCTTGTTATGTACTGTCTCTGATTATATACTGACATCGATAAGAGTTTATCAGCATGTCTCAGGGACAACATTGACATAGTGTGTTATCCACAGATTTGCGTAAGAGGCGAATATTCAAAATTGTGCATTTTGGTTCACCATTTGACTCTATTTATTGGAACCAAATTCAGGGCAGGGATAAAAAGGTTGCTCACGCACACGACAATTGCGAGACTGGTGTTTTCCCTGCATTTGCGCGCTCATGGTGCACACTAGCACAGCGAAGATTTTATAGAAAGCAAAGAACGGCGGCCCCGACAGTGCCCTGTCTAGTCTTACGATTTGGATAGATCAGACAGAGATAGCGAATTTCTTGGCTTGAGAGTAACACTTTTACAAACGACCATTGTTCCGTGACGCCCTTACATTGTCCTACTTTTTAACACATTCATAGCTGTCCCTGTCGAACTCGGTAACCATCAGTCATTTTCGAGACAAGTTGGCTTCCCGACCTGCTCAAAACGGTCCCTTGTAACAAAAGTTTTCCTCAAACCCCTTCATCAGACTGAGTGTACACGTTCAATCAATCCAAAGAAGCTCTTAATAATTATTATGATAGTTTACTGTTTTTATATTTTTAAAAAGAGAAAAGATAAAAATCAAAATTTCAGATTTTGAATCATCTGTCGATTTTGTCAAGTCAAATAGGTGACCACAATTCAGACTCTGTCCTGTCTATAACAATCCCTTTTCTTAGTGATCTAGAGTTACCGTTTAGGAAAGCCTCGGCTGTGTTATAATAATATAGTAATAGTTAACTTTCATTTGCTCCCCTTCGCTTGCTGCTTCTTGCGCAAAGCATTCTCTATCAATCTTGACTTAGGGAAATCTCAAGAGAAATGTCTGGACTTTGCGCCAGTTATATACCTTCTGTCGAAACGCACTGATTTTTTGCATGGCAGGATAAAAAAACTGGTCAAGCGGGCACTTGTCCAAGAAAACTTCCGGGAAAACTACCATTACCCACTTGTTTGTTTTTTTTGTTTTTTTTGTAAGACGGCCATCCCATGTTCTGGAGAAAAGTGGTCTTAAACAGGTGGTCTTCTTACACAATATCATTGTAAAGTAAAAATTATACCAGGGAGGAAATGGGAAATGGCCATTTGTACAGGGGATTATCTTATACAACTGGCCGTTAGAGCAGGTTCGATTGTAGTGTCACAATGACAGTCCAAGACGTCTACCTGCCTAAGATTACCTTCTCTCTCCTTCAAAATGGGTGGCCGTCTGGGAGAATTTTGACTGTATAAATGAGGCGTGAGTTGACGTAAAGTCTTCCCTTTCCAGGTGACCTACATTGAAGTAATGTATGACGACGAGTTCAAACTAATCTGCACTGGAGGACGAGACAGGTGAGTGTGGGTATAAATCATTCTTATCATCATCATCATCATCATCATCATCATCATCATCATCATCATCATCATCATTGTATAAAGCAGATATTAAAACGGTTAAGACCTGGTAGTATTTCCACAAATTTAATCAAAGGTTCAACGTTTCGCCCTCATCATCCTCATCGTCATCATCACAAATACAAAAGAAGAAGAAGTCTTTAAAATGACAGGCACAAAAAATATGTCGACTACTTTGGCTGTGTGAGAGAAACGTGCAGGCACACTAACACTAAACTTTAATGTCAAATACGGGCCACAAAATAATAGTGTCCGCAGGTCGAGAGTTTGAGACCATCTATTTTACAACCCTTATATGTGAGGTTTGATGGTGCTCCGGTGTGGCTTGTTCCTCATTCTATATCAAACATCAATCCTCCACATATATCGGCCTTCTTTTCTTTGCATGTTACTTTCTAGTGACGCCTCTAATCTATGGCTGTCAATTGACCTATTCCTAATGAAAGTGATGCAAAACTCGTACTTAAAGTAATTTAAAATGTCTCTTCTTTGTATGCGACTTCTGGTAACCCATCTAATCTATTATATGACCTATTTGTGTTGCAAGTGCCATACAATTCTTACTAAAACTAAACTAAAACGTCTTTCCTTGATATGTAACTATTCTCTTTTAAATTACTTAATTTGGCGTTTATATGACTTCTTAGTGTTGCAAGTCCCGTAAAACTTTGACCAAAACTAAGTTAAACTAACCACTCTTTCTTTAACAGGGTGATCTTCATCCTGGACGGGGATAACGACTTCGGCCTGGTCCAGGTGCTGTGTGACCACTCGGCCGCCATTACGGCCATCAGCCTGGTCCACAACAGCGAACAGCTGACCCTAGTGTCTGCGGCCGCCGATGGTGTGATCCTCATCAGGAGGTCTGTCAAGGCGGACAAGCTGCTCTTCTCTATCACTGGACAGGTGGGGAAATAACATGTGGGAAAGGGGGTGGGGGGGGGGTGGAGGGGACACTGGACAGGTGGGGAAATAACATGTGGGAAAGGGGGTGGGGTGGGGGTGGAGGGGATGGGAGAGGAGGGG